AACATTAAGTTCTGGTATGTTTAAGAGTGTTGCCAGAGGAACTGTTTTCCTGCTCAGATGCATTTCCCAGCTCACACTTTAATTTGCCCATGACTGGGATGAGCCTAAATCAGCCACTGGCTGACATTGCCCAAGTACAACTGAATCAGCCCAGCCTGGACTAGAAAAACAATTATTTATAGTAATTTCACTTTATACCTGACAACTTCAGCAGGAGAGGAGCCCAAGCTGCTCCAGTGCCAGGATTCCTGCTCCAGCTGTGCCATTTGGTGGCACATGAAGCCTGACTCTAAGGTATGGGTGCAACATTATCCAGGATTTCCCTGCCCTCCTGTCAGTCAAATCAGATTCCACTTTTTCAAATATCAGGAGGACAGCTGATCCTTCTTTCCCAGCAACAAAAGGAGGATGGATGAGGGTTTGTGGATGTATCTACCTATCTGTGTTGGAGGAGGAATTAAAAAGAAAAAAAAAAACCAAAAAACTTTCTATGGCTAAATTGATCTGGGATGAGGAGATATTCCTCATTCAGCAGGCAGGACTCCACTGAGATGGAGAAATTGCTGCAGATATATGAATCCTGACTAGATCCCCTTTTAGTTAGTCAACAGCACTGATTTTGCTGTGCCTTCTTCCATTTGTTTGTTTGGCTTTTCCCTGCATTAAAACCTGTCAAGCCTGCAAAGAAGACAATGTTTTTTGATTGGGCTGCTCAGCTGACAATAAACCAGAGCTTGGAGAATTCCCACCTGCCATAAAGCAGAAAGAAGGTGTGTGATTCTTTAGGGTAGAGCTAAGGTACATCCTGAGAAAAGGAACTTTCTGGAATGCTTGGAGATGTCCACAAAGCCTTGAACATCATCTGAAGTCCAGAGTTCCCCACCATCCCTACAGTTCACACAGGCTCAGTTGGGAGGAGCTGTCTCCACATCCCATGCTTATGTCCAGCCCTAACTTCACACCCTGCACACATGCAGAGAGAGCAGTCCCAAGGCAGCAAGGACTGTGCTATTCTTTTGTGTTTTAGTGCATTTTGGGAATAGAAGGGCTTTGTTCATGCCTGTCAAAACACTGCTGACAACCCAAACTTGGACATCAGCGTGTAAGACAGGCTACTGCTGGGAAGCCTGGCATGTATAAGGATGAGGCAGAGCTGATGCACTGTCAGGATCCCCTCATTGTCTTTCCACATGCTCTCCCTGGTGTTCAAGTTCTCCTGCTGCACCGTTTTGCACAAGACTCCACCTACTAAGCAGTGGGAGAAGGGCAGAAGGTGACACTTTGCTGCTGCTTTCATATCACTGGTTTATCACGGACTCATAGAACATCTTCAGTTGGAAGGACCCACAAGGATCATCAAGTCCAGCTCCTGGCCTGGCACAGGACAGCCCCAGGAATCACACCATGTGCTTTCTCAAGGTCTGTCCAGTTCTGCCTCCCAGGCAAGGAAGCAGTGAATCATACATTTCAAATTTGAAAAAGCCTGCTGCCACCTTGCACAGCATTCCAGCAGCATGGAGGGAGAGGGAGAGGGCAGCCACAGCTGGCTGCTGAGCAGCTTTCCTTTGAAATCCTTCTCTGCACCAGGAAGGCAGCTGCCTTGCCAAGCTGAACCAGCACAAGTGGAAAACAGTGAACACAAACACATCTGTGGTGGTGTCAGACATGGGAAGATGTTGATGGTGTACGATGACAATATTGCTCAAGCCTCTTCCCACTGAGGGTAACAGAGATACCTCCTCCAGTCATCAGGATAGAGGGGGAAAGAAGAACTGCTCTGCAGCCTGGGGCCAGCTCAGGCCGGTGAACACCCCCAGGTTCATGTGCACCCAATGCCCCTGTGCTGCACTCCCTGCCCTACCAGCAAACCAGAGCCCTCTGAGCAAACAGGAAAGTCGAGGGATGGACACAACCCTGTCAAAATGCTGGGCCAGCAGGGCAGACCTGTGATATGTGGAGGGATGAGAGGGATTGAGGAATAACCAGATGTAAAGTTTGCTTGCTTTTGCCCCAGCCTCCTTGTGCTGGCTTGCATGAGTGTGCAACACAGGACAACAACCAAACTCTGACCAGGAATTATTTGTCCTGAAGGGCTCCTGATTCTGCCTTTTCTGGAAAGAAGGAAAACATCTAAGTGTCCACACATCCTTTGTGCAGATCAGGTATTTTGCTTCATGGAGAACAGCTCCATCTTTCTGTTCTCTCCTCCACTCAGCCTGCTGCAGAAAGCCTCCTTCTTCCCCCTGTTTGCATAAGTGATGATGCAGCCATCCTAATTATCAAGGGAATCCACTGCTCCCCCTTTCCAGCACCTCCCCCCTTTACTGCTGCTCTTTCCCTGCTACGGGTTTTGCTGGCAGATGGAACTGGAGCCTCCTCAGCCCACTGGCTCTTCCTTGAAGAAGAACAAAGTGACAGCCCTGCAGGCAGCCGAGCCACGGCAGCGTGACTGATCCATCCGGGGGAGCAGCCCAAAGGCCACTGTCAAGGGTGTGCTCACACAGCCAGCTGGGCTGGGGGAAAACAGGGTGCTGAGCATGGGCTGGAGGGGCTGCACTCCTGCCCTCACAGGCAGCAAGTGTCCCCCACACTGCTGAGCTGTGCAAGCTGCCTCTTAAGTCCCTCCTTTCGCACCACGATCCAAGGGTCAGGGAAAGGGAGATCTGAAGCCTCCAGTTGGGGGGTGACCAGACAGCAAGATTAGCAAGCTCATGCATATGGAAGGATGACCTTACCAGCTCCACTCAGCCTTCTGCACATCAGATACGATTTGCAATCAGCCATGGCCATGCTTTTCTCCCTTTCACCCTCAAGTCCTGTCCTTACAGCACTGCTTACATATGGTTTTACCCACGTTTTTTTGAATTCTCTGCCCTACTTCTATCTCCATCACCCATTACCTCAGCAAATTAGCAGTTACCCGTGATGCCTTTTGGGCCAGACATCTCTTGCTTTGTTTGTGTGAGGATTTGGTCTGTCATGCATAGGAAGGTGTATTGTTGCAGTGTTATTTGTCTGCCTGTGACAAGGTGGTAAGCAAAGTCCTGACAGCAATTCTGCAGCTGTAGCAAGGCCTGTTTAGCACAGTCCAGTCTGTACAGAGCTTGTTTTTTTATATACATAGCATCAGATGGGCTACCCATGTGATCTTCTTCTGCTGTATGCCTGGAAATGCTCCAAAGAGCTGATGAACCAATTGGAATTACAGACAAGAGTTTAGTTATAGTCCCTGGGGGGAAATGAGGCCTGTGTGGAAGGAAGTAGGACAGGGGAGATGAAAATAGTCTATCAGGAAAGCAAGCCAAAAACCTGCCAAGCTTCTACACCACACAAAGGCAAGGCAGCCTCCTCCTGTACTCCAATCCATGGGCTCCAGCATCCCACAGCCATCAGCTGAGCTGTCAGTACACACTCAGCAGTTCTGGGACATCCATTTCAAGAGCCAGAGCTGCAAATCATGACAGCCAAATATGGGGGTGTGGAGCAGGTTGGGGTAGGACAGCAACCACGGCCATTTCAGGCTGTGGAAGGATAGACCAGGCACTTCCTCCACTGTCCTGGAGGAGACTCTGGGACTCCACACTGGGCTCCTGGTTCTACTCTGAAAGGACACCAGCAGAAGAAGTCAACCAGCCCCTCTCACAGCATTGAGGGGCTGTATATGGGCATTGCTGGGCATAAATCCAGAGCTGAACCAAAACTAATTAATTTTTAAGGCTGTAGGAGCTTGCACCTCATCCTTATGTAGGGACCTGGCTCCTGGATCTGTGCTCAGGGATCACCCTCTGCTCTGCCTTCCTGTTAGATCTGTGGTGTCATTTTCTACTTGCTCACTTCCTCCTCCCGGCCAGGATCTCAGTTGGATCTGACACGCTCCATCTGCAAATCTCCCCAGCCAGCCTCCCCAGAGTGGCCACATAAACATTCTCAGCTCCAGCCAGGGAAGAGGCAAAATCCCTCCTGCAGTTGGATTCCACAGGAGCTTTTCAGCAGGCCCTCGTGGCCCAAACACTGTCCAGATGGCCTCACCACACGGTGTCCCACCACATTTTGTACATAGCAAAGGTGCCAATTATCTCTTCCTTCCCTGCTTTGAAATCATCACTCTCTCCACAACACATACACTCTCTCAGTTGTCCTGCTTTCCACATTCCAGGTTGGCAATTAGAATCTGCAACCTCTGAGCTTCTCTGCAAACTGATGAGCTGCTAAAAATACAGCCCCTGCAGGCACCCATTCAACTTCTATTTCTGTATTTTTTATTATTTATTTTTTCACTTTTCTTTTTTTTTTTCCTTTAACCAATTTGAGATGAACAAAGCTCTTCAACAAAGGGAAGGGGAAAATGCTGTGATTGTGAAGATGGATTGCTGCCATTTACTTTGTTCATTTTAATTATACAAAGTCATCACTTAGTGGGAAGCCTCAGGATAGGAAAAGAGAACACAATGGAGTTACCATATCCCACCTCCTTATTTCACTATGCTTCATTTTAAAGCCTCCCCTGACACCCTGGCAACAATACCTGAACTAGCACTTCCATACTCTTAAATCTTGCCATACTTTATTGGTTACTCACCTGCTGTGTCTTCAGCCTGGAAAGCCCAAATAGTCCCAGTCCTCCTGATAAAATCACAGACCACCAAGATCACACAACCTCCCCGCTCCTCTCAAAGCCATCACACCCTAATCCACCCATGACAGGATGGGCAGTTTGTTCTCCTAAATTTGCTCCAGCTGGGAGATGAGGTTAGCAACAACTAAAAACCTTCAGCACAACTGAGAGGTTTGAGGCAGAAAGGTTGCAGCTGGTGCCTGGGGAGGGGCAGGAACCAGGACTGCCTCCCCTCTGTCTTCAGTATTAACTCACTCTGCTACCTGGGGCAAATAAAATTCCCTTTACTGAATCTCTGCTGGCAGAACAATGATCAGTTAACTCCCCTGAAGCTAATTCTGTGTTATTCACCCTGGCATCCCTCACTTGGCTAATACCAAGTGTTTGAAGGAATTTTGGTGTATTGAACCTCCAGGCTGGAGTGTCCAAGGAGGTTCTGCCTGGGATAGCCCAGCAAGAGTGGTCTGTTCTTTCCTAAACACAGCAGGGCTCAGCCTGAGGGACCAGTTTCAGTCTAACTCAGTGTTCTTGGAGAGGCCAAGGACAGTTGCTGCCCTTCCAGTCCTGCAACCAGGCAGTGACACCTGAGAAATGTCATTGTGCCATTGCCTGAGCAGAGACCCAGCAAACCACTGTCTCACTGGACACAAAGGCTTCCCACCAGGACACACCTTCCACCAGTGGCACTTGTGCCACTCTTTGGGCCTTTCCTGCTTGTCTGAACCAGTCAGGCTTAGTTCAGAGGATGAGGAGAGCTCCTTTCCCCATCGGGGCAGTCACTGTTAGTGGAATCATTTCTCATTCCCAACCCTGTGATTGCAGTAAACTGTCTGGTTTTGAGGCACTGAGGGGGATTGTGCCCGTTTTTCCTTTAAACCCTGTCATTCCTCAGAAGTGACTCCAGCTCTTCAATACAAACTGTCATCATTCCTCAAATAAATTCTCTCTCTCGTGTCTCCATGCAGCTGCCTGAGATGTTTCTGGTGAGCCAAAACAGCTTCACCATCTTCGCCCAACCTTCCAGCTGCATTTCTATCTTCCTAAAAGTTTGGGCTTTCCCCAAAGGTCTGATTTGATTGTATCCTTACAGATCCCCTTAATTTTCACTCAAGGGCTGTTTGTAAACACTTGCTGGCTATTGCTATGAGTCTGTATTGAGTGATTTGGGTTTTCACTCAGGGATTTCTCTGCCCATTTCTTTCGTATTTGAAGCTGTGTTTAGATATTCTCTCCTCACACACCAATTGCCACCTCGTTCTTTGTTTGACATAGATTTTTCCCTTGTAGTTTTATCTTCAGTAAGCTGGTGCCTTTCTTGTTTAACTACAGGGCTTACAGGCATTAACCAGGTGTCCTTCCCCTCTAAGGCCTGGGGGTTGCATTTCCATTTGCTCTGCTGCTTCTGGCATCACTATGAGCTCTCCCTCAGCCACTCTCAGGTACTTACATTGGTTTTTTCCACATTCCTCTCCAATATTTTATATTTACTCTCCACATTTTTGGTAATTGGTAACGTTGTCTAAGCTTCAATATTTGTGGGCTTCAACTTTTAATTCTAAGTTTGTTCCCACACTCCTTTGTTAACCCCTTTCTTTTTGGATTGTGTTCAGTAGATAAGACTTTCACAGACAACACACCACTAATGTTGTGGTCATTGCTATTTGCCTTCGAATATTTACAGCATTTCTTCCATTTTTTTTCCCATTCCTCTTCAATCTTACTTGGTAATGATTTTGCATTGACCTTCATAAATAAAGTTCTTTTTCTTTTAAGCATACCACTTACTTTTCCTTTTTTTTTTTTTTTTTGTGCACAGGTAGAATTAGATTTGGATGAGAGTCAGAGTTTCTATTTCTAAGAGAGCTCTTGTAATTTTGTTTCAAAGAAAATCTGGTTCCTGAAGATATGCCAGATTTCTGAAACTCTTCACAAAACGGCTTCACTAGAGCAAGTTTTTAAACAACCCGAGTGAATTGTTTGGAAAACATTGAAAATAAATTGACCTTGGAGGTGGACTGAAACATAAAAATTGTCGCTGTCATGAAAGTTGATCCACTTGGTCGTTAAAAATAATACCAAGAGTGATAGAGCACTAAATTTTAAAATTTAGCATTAAAAAATGCTGTTAAGAATGAAGGTTGTGGAGAAGAGGTAAATGTGACAGGACCCAGCCAGACAGTCCTGCAGAAAGGTGAGATACACTCACCTTTGCAAAGAGAGCATTGTAACTAGTAATAAGTACATTTGCTGTCTCAAAAGCGATAGTTTGCAACAGTTGGGAAAAATTACAAGCAAAAATCATTAGATGAGAAACCACAGGCAGAGAAAATGCTGATTGCAAATCGGTGATTCTGTAAGAGGAGTTTATTAGGTGGCCAAAACCCCAAACACCACAGCTTCATATGAAATAAGAAGACAACATTGGCTGGAATCCAAGCCCTGCTCTGCTACAAAGGAAAAGAAAAATGGGAAAACTGTATCCACACATAAGAGTCACGTATGGGAAATGGGAAACTCGCACTTTTGAAGAATTAGCTGAACTTGCTTTTGCTCTGCTGACTTCAGTTTCTAATATCTATTCTTTCCTTACACTGCTGGCAGCCACCTCCACTGTCTGAAGGCATCCTGTCTACAGAGATGTCCCTGCTTTTCGTCTGAATGACTCTGAAGCTCTCCTGGTCTGAAGGGGTCAGGTACTAGGGAGCAGGGAAGAGAAATTAACCCCTGGAAAAGGAGATGTAAATGTGTTTTTTCCCAGTGAGAACAAGGTCGCCTCCCTTGAAAGCCCCTCCGAGTGCCATGGCCTTTGTTTGGGGTCCTGCAATGTTACCTTTGTAATGACTTGCTGAAAAGTCTCCTTGGCTGACATGGATCAGCTGAGACACTGGGGACCTTTTCCTAAAAACAAACCCCAAAGCACAGCAGTCGTAGAACTGGGAGCTGTCTTTCACACAGCAGATGTGGGAAAAGCTCTCTGTGGCAAGCAACCAAAAATGACTGAAAGGAGGAGTTAAGGACCATTCATTCAGCTGCTCTGTGTGATGGACCATAGACCTATAGCCCAGCTTTCAGGAAACGAGGGACTGTGTATTCAGTACACTGCCATGCTCATTTGTGTCTCAGCATGGTCCTCTTGACTTCAAAACCATCAGCCTGAGCGTGTACAGCAGCTTGTTATCCTGGTGAACCTTCCACTCCCTGCCCAGCCAGCAGAGATCTGACTTTGCAAGGTCTGGCTTTCAGGAGGGAACAGCAGCAGCACCTGGTCAGCAGCTCTGTGATGAGGCTCAGGACACACCACAAAGCCTCAGCTCTGCCGAGGGGAGGCTGAGCCAGCTTTGGCAGCTGCTCCCAGCTCCATACCTCAGTTTCTCAACCTACAGTATGGAAAATACCACTGACCTCCAATGTAAAATGCCTGGAAAATGCTGCTTCCCAGGCCTGTGTCGCAGCAGTTTCTAAGGCCATGCACAATTTAGGATTTTGTCTTCTCCCTACTGTTCCTTAGAGCTGGCAGCAGCATTTTGTGTTGTTTCTCATCACTCAGAGCTATTATTAACATCCTTCTGGAGACACGAATTGTATCTACACACACCTCTGATAATTAGGCTAAAAATCCTACTAGTGCTGATGCAGCTCTTGAAGAATATATTAAGAGTAAATCCAGTGCCAAAAAAGTTTTTTGGGACTCAATAATCACACCTGAGATCAGAATTAGAAAAGGGCAGACAGAGGAGTTTTGCTGCACAGGAGGTGAGCAGGGAAAGATGGGAGTGAGAACTGTGTGGGGACTCAGCCTGGTTCCCTTTGTGGCTTTTGCCACACATGGATGCCCCAGCCCAGCCTGGCTCTGGCACAGGGGAGCTCCTGAGCAGGGCACTGGCATTTCACTGCTGTGATCAGCCTGCTGGCACGGGCAGGACTGACCTGCTCACACCCAGATCTACCTCTGTTGGGAAATAAAGTCTGAGAGGAGTCACATCCCCTCCACAGCTCCCAAAGTCTGAAAGGAGTCACATCCCCTCCACAGCTCCCAAAGCCAGTGTGACTTTTGGCCATCCTGAAACATTTAGCTTTGCTTTGCTGACCTCTCAAATTTAGGTCAGATGGTCAAGCTTGTATGTTTGAAGGGGTGAGTCTCAGGGTGTGAGTATACTGTATATTTGGGGGGGTGCAGCTGACTCTGCCCTCTCTTTTGCAGTACATCCCTCTGGCCTCTCCCCAAGTGCCTCAAAATATCTGTTCTTAGATGTGTTGAAAGAGCACCTGTGGGGTCAGAGTGGGATTAAGACAGTGGGACTGGGCTGCTGGAAAAGAGACATCCTCACCTAAGGACCTTCTGTCCCTTGCTCACAGGTCTGCATCCCTTTTCTTGCATCCTACCCCCATGCACTCTGCCCATGCAGGTCCAAGCACTGGAGGAGAGGAACAGATCTGTGAAGAAAAATAGTTAAGGAGGAGAAATAATTAGGGAGCGAAGCACGGAAAGTGACTGTGGTGATTCCCCCTTTCCTTGGCCACCCACCAAAGCCTCGTGGGGGGCTCATGAACTGCTCTGGTGAGTGATGCTGTGCTGACTGAGTGCTCCCCTCTCCCCCCACAGCCCAGCTCTCCAGGACCTCACAGGCCAGAATCCTTGGAAGGGAGGTTATGTGGGGGAAAATGGCATCTCTGAGTGAAGAGCAGCACTTCACTGCTTTTCAGCCCTTCTGCTGACGCCAGCTCACAGCCTGCAGCGGGCTCCAGAACACACCTAAAAATAAAACAACACCTGGGCCCTCTGCTGCTGGGGGGAACAGCCAGGGTTTGCAATCAGTGGCGTTTGTGGAAGCTCTGAGCACAGGGGGGGCAGGCAGAGGGTCAGCCCCAGGCCCTCTGCTTTGGCACTGATTGCAAACATGGGCAGGATCTCCTACAGAGCACGTTTCCCTGCTGCTCCAGTGACACATTGTCATTCCAGTGAGGATCTTTGCCTTGATCGTAATCACACACAGACACAGGAGAGGAAAGTCATGTTAATGCACTGAGCCCTCTGCATGAAGAGCATGCCTGGGAGAAAAATGTCTTTTCTCAGTGGCAGGGCATTTTTGGTGTCTTCTGGATGTGGCTTCTCTTGAAACTGTGTAACGTGAACAGCAAAATAAAGTCAGACTACCCTTGTATGCAGGATGGGATCCACCTCTAATCCCCAGGGAGAGGGGGATGGCTGGGACATGTGCTCTGTATTTGATTGATGCCTTAGACAAGTGACACCCAAACTTGGGGTCCTGACTCTCAGGAGGGTGCCTGTGCTGTCATGCTCTGTTTGGGTGTCAGGACTCAGAGCAGGAAGCAGGTTGAAAACCCCCTTTAGTGAAAACATCAGCATCAGCAAGGATTTAGTGTTTGTGGGGATGAGTGACAGAGAAAGGGAGATCAGGGAGGCTTCTTTGCACTAAAAAACTTTTGCATGGCAATAAAGGTGAGCATAATCTTGGGAGGAAGAAAGGGGAAAGAAAGGGAGAAGAGAAAGGGAGAAGAAAAGAAAAAGGGAGAAGAAAAGAAAAAGGGAGAAGAAAAATGGAGATCTATCTAGAGTCAATAGGATTTTTTTTCCATCTACAGTGGAGCTCTGTGTACACCAAAGCAAACAAATGGTGTCCACAAAATTTAGACTGAGGAAATGAATTTCTTGGAATGCAAGATTCAACCAAGACGTGATATAACAGGTTGTTCAGCTACATAGATACTTCTAGACAGAGAGCCTGTTTGAGGCTGTATTTTCACAAGTACGTGTGAAATCAGATTTCTGAGACCTCTGAGATATCATTTTGCCAAAACATCCAAGCAAAAGGGAATAAAATATTTTGTCTCCAAAGATCACAGGATAATGGGAAAAAGAGAAGCACAAAGGTTGTCTGATCTGCTACTGCAATTCTGATGAAAAATTCAGTACTGGGTGATTCAGAAGAAGGTTTAACATACCTGCTCATCAGCTCAGATCTAACACGTCTAATTGTGCAGTTCTTCCCATGGGAGGTCATTTTTGCCTAACCCTGTCTGATAATTAGATTATGTTGTAGAGATTTAGTCATTATAAATTTCAACCTGTATAATGTTTTGTCTGGACACAGCTCTCCGTGAGGTTGCAAACTCTTTGATTCCTCCTAAATTATTCATTTCAGTAATATCCTGTGACAATAAATTCCACAGGTTCGGTTCATCACATACATGGAAGGTTTTCCCATGCTGCCTACACTATCCATATTTTGTCACCCTCGTTTCCTTCTGCTTTGTGAGAGCCTGCCAGGGCTTTTGGGATGGATTTCTCAGAAAGGGAGTATTTTTATGGGCTGAGTTGATCACCTTCTTCATAGCACCACCCATCATTATGGGCTTCTCTTCCAGAGGAAGCATCCCAGGGAGAAGACTGCAGAGAGCTTTTTCTCTGTATATACCAGATAGTAAATTTGTTTTTCATCATAGCTGGGAAATGGATGGAAAAGAAAAGGTGGAGAAGTGAAGAAGTTCAGCTACAAGGGGAATATGATGGCACTGTGGAAGGCAGGGTGAAGGGATGGAGCTCATGTGCTCAGGTACATTGAGAAACCTGTCAGTCACACCGTGGTTTACAGGGCAATATTTCACTTAATTTCAGCCAATATGCAGCAATGCTTCTAATAACAAGCTGTCAGAGGAGCAGGGGATCATGCAGGAAAACAGGCAGGAGGGAGAAACAAGAGGAGCAGGAAGGAAGAAAGCAGGAGAAGCAGGACAGGTTGGTGGTGAACTTTGGGGCAAACCAACCTCCCTGAGCAACCTGCACAGCTGTGGGCACAGAAACGCACAGGCACATCCCACCTCTGCCTGCCTGTTGGCAGGGAATTCCTGCCCATGGAGATCCTGCAGGGCTGGCACCCTGACACCTCAGAGCAAAGATGGAAGAGCAGAGGGTGCAGCTCTGTGGTGGCTCTGGGCAGGAATGATGGACACAAAGCACGGAAAAGCTTGGGGAGCTCTAGAGAACACAGTAAGGGCATTGTCAGGATGTCCACCAGCAGCTGCCTCTGACAAGAGTTGTTCCTTCAGATCTACTCAGGTTGGTTCCCCCTCCTGCCCACCCCCAACCTGACCCCTTTCCAGGGGGTCTGCACCCCTGTAGCAGCTTTTACTCTGCCTCTTTCCCAGTCTCCTTCCAGCCCAGTGCTTCAGGCTCAAACACTTCATCTGTGCTCCAGCTTTCCCCTCACCTTCCCTGGGGCAAGTGCCTCTGGATCTCAGCTGTGCCACACCATCCTCCATTCTCTCTGCTTCCCAGAGACCTCTCCCAGCTCCAGCACTGCAGATCCAGCCAGCATCCCTGGTGCCTCTGGACTTTCAAAGTAAATCCAGTCTCTACTCCCTGACTTGCCCCTATCAAATCCCCGCTCTGGAACACACAGTGGCTGCTTTCACCATTAGCTACCTCCCTGCTCCACACTTTCCTCTTCTCTCCATTTCCTCCTCCCCTCAGGATATTGATGCTGGATGAAGTTTCCCATTAAACCAGCCACTCTTGTAGAAAGGGAAGCTGACATGATTAATGCCATTCAGTGGGGAAGGCAGTGAGTGCAGCCAAGGAACAAGGAGACAGGCACATTCCCATCAGCCAGTCATTAGCACTTGCCCCAAAGAGGCAGCAGGAACAGGGTGGACACTATTTTTCCAACTCTGTCTTGTGCTGGATGCAAACTCTTCAGGGCCAGGAGGGAAGAGAAGCTTCCTTCTCTCTGTTTCATTTTTCATTTAATCTGTACCCAAACAGTGCTGCCTTGGGCCCAGGCACAAGTGATCCTCCCAAGCCCATCCTGGTGGCAGCTTGGAATACACAATCCAGGCTTCAGCTTGAGCTCAAGGGAGATCAGATTTATTTCTGGTCTTTTTTCGTTTTAGCAGCTTTATGTTTTCTCTCTCTCCATCCTCTTACCTCTTTCTCTGCCATTTGCAGCAGGTCCTCTGTGAGTAGCTCTATTGACAAGCCCATTCCCTGTGATTTTCTTCACTAACCCGGAAAACCCCATGAGAAGGAATCACCTTCTGCTGACACCAAACTTCAATCCTCTGTGAGGCTCAGGAGAGAGGGGGTTGGAGAGTAGCCCCCAGAGACCACTCAGCTGAGTGAAGCTCCCCTTGTACGCAGTGGAGAAGAAAAAAAATCTCTCCATATGATTATTAAAAGCAGGATTTGGCTTATGTGGGCTGGAGGAGTCTGTTTCCCTCCAGAGTAACCACCAGAGGAGGTGATGGTGATTAACTTTGGACCTTTGCAAACTTCCCTCACCACCAGCACGCCGTGATCAAGATCCTACATCTTCCCATAATAGTTTGCTCTAATCTCCCTGACTATTTAAATAAGCAAATCAATGAATAAGTAACTAAGAAAAGGAAATCTACTTTTTAAAATTGGATTTGTTGCCTTCAGCTTCCAGCCATTGATTCTCCTTATGCCTCTTCCAGATTAAAGAGTATTTCAGTACCTGGGATCTCCTCCCCATGCAGGTCCCTGTAAATAACTCCATGAGTTTCCAAGTCACCCTTCCTTCCCCAGCTGGTGTTTAAAAAGTACTTTAGAAATCATTAATGAAAAATATATAAAAAGAGCAGTTCTGGTACTGATGTCTGTATAAACCCTTAGAAATATTCTTGTTGGGGTTGGTTTGTTCTTCCAGGTTACCCAGTGTCTGTAAGACCTGCAGTTATCCAGTTTCAGATGTGTAAATGCTCTTAATCTCTAATAAAATTAACACCATAAAGTGCCAGGGGGCTGGGAATTACTTCAACAAAAGTTCAATCCATTATGTTCATCCACACTTTTATCAATCAAACCCGCAGTCTCAAAGAATAAAACTAATTCTGTTGGAAAAGATCTTTTTTTCTACAGAATCACATTTGATTCTTTATCAATTGGCATCAGATTATGTGGTCCCATTATGTGGTCTAAGACAGGTTACCTATTGCAGAGCTACAACCTTCTGGCTTTTTTAAAAATAATATTATTATATAATGCTCACACAATTACCTCCCATGCTGTGAGGGTTATTAGAAACTGAAGTCATCAGACCAAAAGGAAGTTCAGCTAATTCTTCAAAGGGTCTTGGTGTGACTTTTCCATTTCCCACCTTGATTTTTCCTGTGTAATTCTTATGTGTGGATATAGATTTCCCATTGCTCTTTTCCTTTGTAACAGAGCAGGGCTTGGATTTCAGCCAATGTTGTCCTCTAATTTCATAGGAAATTGTGGTGTTTGGGGTTTTGGCCATCTAATAAACTCCTCTTACAGAATCACCAATTTGCAATCAGCATTTTCTCTGCCTGCAGTTTCTCTCCTAATCAATTTTGCTTGTAATTTTTCCCAACTTTTGCAAATTATTGCTTTTGAGACAGCAAATGTACTTATTACTAGTTACAATGCTCTGTTTGCCCATATTGAGTGTTTCTCAACTGTGCAAACATCTGATGAGTGAAGAATAGAGAAAATTGTCTAGAAAGTTCTTAAAGCACTTTTTTAAGGAAAAAGAAAAAAAAGAGAAAAAAAACAAAGAAAAAAAAAAGAAGAAAAGCAAAGAAGCAATAGTTTAGTAAATGGATTTTTGGGATTGGAAGGGAAAAGAATTTGAGGCAATAATTTTATGCCTTTGTAAGAAGGCAAGAAAATAAACACTGACACCAAGCTGGCATAACTCACTTCCATGATGAATTCCATGACACTTCCACTCATGCTCATGCTTTGGCTTCAATGGTGTGTGAGTTTGGGGTGTCACCTTACAAAAGCTGTAGTCACAGAACCATCCAGGTCAAAAGGGACCTCAGGATCTCACTGAATTCACCCTCTTCCTCAGAGCCAAGTGAACACTGAGTTCAGACCAGGCTGCTGAATTCAGAGCTGCTGGTTTGCCCAGTCAGGTGTTGTAAAAATCCCAGAACAGACATTCATGGATGGAAGGATGGGTGTGAGTGGATAACCACAGAGCACAGGGCAGATGTCCTGCCTTGGCAATGACAGCAGAGCAGGTCCTGCCTTGGGGCACAGCCCAGGCAGCCTCTCCATGTCCCTGAAAATTCCTTTTCCTACAACAACAAAACGAACACTGCTTAAGCAACATCAGCTTCAAATCTAGAGAGTAATTTATCTTTATTCCACACGATGTTTCCTCTTACAGAAGAGTTACAAGAAGTGTCACACATGACAGAAGCTCTTGGAAAAGTGCATTTTCAAAAGTTATTCCAACATTTTCACAGAGGTTTTGGAAGACAGGCTTCACACAGGAGGACCTGTCACACCTTTCCCACTCCACATTAACACAGTTTAGGTTGCACGTGAGCAGTGCCTGTGGAGAAACCCCTTGTGCTCCCTCGACCATAACTGAGCTTTGCTGAGGATCATTCCCAGCTTCACCTGGGCTCAATTACTGTCTGAGGGGGTGCTGATGTTCCTCCACCAAAATGTTTGCCCTAATTTTGCTCCCTTAGTTAAAAGCTGTCTGTCCTGGCTTCCTTTGTAGGCAACAGAGAGAAACATGGACTTGCCACTGCCTATGCATCATTCCAGGGGAAACTAATTGTTTTAATCAGACTTTTTAATAATATCAGAAGTGAGGCAGCTTGAATATTTCTCCCTTGATCTAAGTGCATGCCAGAAGCCTGGTTTCTGTCTTATCAACTACAGTGAGCCTGTATTTTGCAGTTCCACTTGCCCCATTCCCTCCTGTAGTGTTTCTCTTCATTGTGTGATTCAGCCACTGGGTTTCAGGCCTGCCAGTTAAAAACATTCTTTTCTCCCTGAACTTCTTGCTTGTTGACCTAGATCACTGATGAATTACTTTTTGATAGTTCCTGAAACATTTGCCCAGTCCATATGAGCACTTCCCAACTAATTCAGCTCGGTTGGCTGGTGCCAATAACCCCAAGGTCACAGGTCTGATGCCTGTATGGGCCATTCACTTAAGGGTAGGACTTGATGAGCCTTGTGGTTCCCTTCCAACTCAGAATATTCTGTGAAAGGAAAACCTCTCTGAAAGTAATTTGAGTTGGAGTCCAAGCTCTGGTCTCTGCTTTCTTTCCTTTTCAGCTCCTCCACTTTCTTCTTTCTCTAAGCACCTCTCCAAGTTGACACTCAGCCTACTTTGGTAAGAAGCTGAAGTTCCCTGCTGTGGAGACTGAAACTCAGTGACCATCCAGTGTGTTCCTCCTTTCTTATGCAAATTACCTTTGTCTGGAGCAGGAAGTGGCCTGACAGATACACGAGTCAGACATGGAGATGAAAAGAGATCGTTATCAGATCTGTGCTCCTGACTTAGATAAATAAGCATTGGGCATAATTCGCCACTCATTAAAGTGTCTTCCTCAGGAGATGGCTGACAGTTCATTAAGTAAGATGAAATATCATTATTTAAACTCAGGACTGATCAGACTGGGTGGAAACTTAGTCTACTGTATTCATAATTTCATGCATTGACAAGCAAGTTCTTGAAAATATTCCTCTGAAGTGGCTGACCCACAGACAAATTAAGATCCTGCTGTAAATTAACTAACAGGGTAAGTCACGTTTTTTAAGTGGCAGAGCTCTGGGTATAGCATTCCAAATATTCATGCCCACTCCCAAAGAGGGTTGGTACTGCAGCTCCCAGCTCAGCTTGTGCAGAGACCTCCACACCCAGTGTGTATTCACCAAGCTAAGCTAGACCCAAGCCCCAAGCTCAGACATGTGGTTTCCCATCCCCTCCATCCCAGTCCTCACATCTTCCAGGCACTTTTCCCCTTCCTCCATCCCTCATTCTGCTTGTCTGGTCAGTGTGAGCTGCCCCACAGTTTGTCCTCAAAGCAGGACCCAGCAATCACTGGCAACACCACAAACTGCCAACTAAAACTTGCCATCCTTATTTATCTCACTTCATTTCATGCCTCAAATTCAGCTTTTTAAGTTCCTCTCCACAGAGGTGCTGTGTCTGATGCAGGGTCATTCATCTTCAGGACAAGTGTCTATTGATCAGCTGTTATCCAATTTACAATAGGCATGTAATACAGTCTGAACTCAGTGGGCTCCAGAGGGAATTCAGAGTGAGGCCAAGGAAAGCACCTTCTCCAAACCCTTCAGTGCAAACAGAACAAACACGGGCAGATGTTGCAGCTTTACAGCAGAACTCTGAGCCTCAAGCACAGGGATGGTGTCAAAGAGCAGGACCATTGCCAGAAAAAAAACCCTCAGTCCCATCCCCACCTGAGGGAGGTGTGAGCATCCCTGACCATGCTTTAACAGCAAAAAAAAAGAGGAATTCATGCCCAAGAAACTTTCCAGTGAGAGTCCATTAATGCCTCCAAAACCCTCCGTAATATGCAAGGGTTATGCTTTTTTTTTTTGTCCACTCTGAACACAAAGAGCAAACATGTCCTTTCAGGAGGAGTGACCTTTACATTGCGCCGGGAGAATGAAAGGACAAGGCAAGAACAGAGGCAGGTCTGTGTGAAAGGGGAGCCACACAGAGCCTGCATTGACTCTCCAGGTTGGTGCTGGGCTGGCCCAGAGCGGGTCCTTGTCTCCACAGACAGCAGAGCCCTCCAGGAAAGGGGCAGTGCCTTGAAAACAGAGGTGCACAGACAGCTCAGTGACAGCAGAAGAGCTGCCTGGGTACTTTTCTATAAGCCTATTATTCCTTGGAAAAGTCCATTTCTTTGAAATCCGAACTGTTTGCAGGAAAGGGTCAGTTTTAATAAATCCTTTTCTCTCTCTTTTTTTTTTTTAATTTTTTTTTTTTTAAGATAAGTTGCATCCGTTTTTAACTTCTCTCTCTTTTTTTTCTTCGCCCAGATGGAAACAAATTTTCTTACAGCGTTTCCAATAATTAAAACTCAGCTAAAATACCAACATGGCCAGAAAGGACAAAAGAAAACTCCACAGAAATGTTTTTACTGCCCTAACCTGAGTGTAGCTTTGCAAAAACTTAAGACTTTCAAGTTTTTGTCTGGATATTTTCCCTGGGACAAGAAGACCTGGTTTGTGCAGCTCGATGTCATGCTGCTTCTTGTAGTAATTTTGCAGGACATGTACACTGATGTTACGGGTAAAGTAACTCTATTTTGCACCTTCCTCTGATTTCCTTTTTTCTCTTTGATGTTCACTCCTACTAGAACGTTTTCCCTGGTGCCATTCTCAGGTTGAATGAAGCCTGATTCACATCTCATGCCAATTACTCTGACATTGTCAGGACTAAGCCAGTTTACCCCACCTGAGCAATATGATTATTTAGCAGTAGTTTCAGTCCTCTGTCTCCTCCTTCAAGATTTCTGCCATGGGTGAAGCCTTTGAATGAAAACTATCCCCTTTCTCCCCCCTCAGAAAAAAAAAAAAAAAAGGTAACTGCATTAACTCCTGTATTGGTTAAAAGGTGAAAAATATTAAACCATAGCTGAAAAAAAGTGGATTTCTTGTATTTTATTCATGATCATGAAGAAGTGAATCTGTATCCCTTCCAGGCCACATCCTGCTTTATATTTGAAATGCAGAATAGAGAAGATGATGCAGAACTTGTCAAACCACCTTCCTTGTAGCGAGGTCCCAAAAGTGGCAAAGAGAATTAATTGACTCCATTGATAGCACCCTCTCTCCAACCTGCTTATGACCAGAAATGATCAGAGCTGAGCAAAAACCTCACAAAAAATGATGGAAATGGTGGAAAAAAACACATAAAACAAAGGAGGGAGGCTCAGAGTGCCACTGGCTGGGTGTTTTACCTGCACCATCACTTGCCTGCAGCCACAGAGCCTCATCTGCCCTTTGTGCTCACAGGGGCACCCCCTCTCCTTTCACATCTCCATCTCCTGATAGAAAAGGTGTGAGTTGGCCCCAAGATCCAGCAGCAGGAGGGTGGAACAGACTCCATCCAATTCTGTGCTCACCTGTCTGCACTGAGCACCCCCACGGCCCTTCTTAAAGCTGCCCCTTTCCTTCTCAAATCACCCTCACAGCATTCCCACTCCATCTCCCACCCTTCCAGCAATGCCTTTATCTCACACCACACACCAACCCCGTTATCCCACCCATCCCTGCAGCAGCTGAAACCCCTCCTGTCACAGTCCCCTGTGCTGTGGCCAAGCTGAGTGCAGACAATCCCAGCACACCCCAGCACACCATCAGTTCTCGGGGCAAACCCCCTTTAGCACAGTTTCCCACCCTGGCTGTGCTTTCCTGCATTGCCACTCAATTTATTGCTCCTGATACGTGGAGGTAACTGCCCTGAGGACACTGAGAATAAATCTTTTTAAACTGATGCACTTGAGCCCCTGCACAGAGTTGCAGTGATGGGTCTGCAGGAGGAGCAGCCTGGAAAAGGGAACAACTGGCTGGAGAAGGGCAGGATCCTCTTAAGCTGCCTTTGCTTCCAGAGAAATTGTGATGCAGAGCCACCTTTTCCTTGTGGTTTTTTTTCTGTCTTGTTTACCTTTGGGCTACGACTGTGTTTATAAAAAACACAAATAATTGGCATATGTTAGATACACGTCCAACAAAAAATGACAATTAGGGGGAATGAGAGGGTGGATTAGAATTTTGTACCTAGGTCTGCTCTCATTCTGAATTCAGCAGCAGGCTCAGGGATCTGGCTTCAGTTTTGTTTGTTCACCTTTTTCTGTGTTTTGTTTCATTTCAGCTAATAAATACAGACACAGATACGAATGATGTGAATCTTCCCGAATTTCAGGATATAACTTTGACCTTTTGATCCAGAACTCACCTGAACTCGAACCCAAGTAAATGGATTTTTTTCCCTTGTAATAAGTATGCTAAAAAAGTACAAAACCCCACCTCCTAACTCATAGTGCTGCTCTTCTATGTTTTTAAAATACATGCTGTAAATACATCTGATTTGAGGCCTAGTGTGTGACAAGATTCACACACAGTGATAGTATCTTCTATTAAAGCAACGGATATTGTTAGAAAGAACTTCAGCACACCTCATTTTCTTTGAGGCTCTCACCATTCCATGCACCATGTTTGGCATATCCACAACCTCAGGGGCTCTCAACCCCCAGTGGGTCCTACAGGCACAAATCCATTATCACAATGTCCCAAACACAGGGAAAAAAAAATGTCAGGGGTAGCAGGGAAGGAGGTTTTTTAATTTGTCTTTCTGTTACAGACTTCAGATTGAATCTGACAGACAATATCCAGATTAGCTGCTCAGCATGAAAACAAAGAAAGATATTTTTTTTCATTTTGATGAAAGCTGAGGTGTGTACTAATGTCTCAAGGGCTGAGAGTGTTTCAAACATCCATTACCATAAATTAGCCCTAAATATATTGGAAGCTGGCAGCCATCAGCTCTCTGCTGTCCCTTCCCCAGTTTGCAAACCAAACACAGATGTGGACACTTCATGCTCCCCCCTGGCCTGTGTCGTTTTGTACCGGGGGATGTCTTGGTGTGGTGTCTCAAGAGGAGGCTTTGTTTGTTTGTTTGCACATTGATCTGTGAGTGAGCAAGAGAAAACTCAAACACAACCTTCTTGTCAAGTAAGAAAACTGAAGTCTGGTGTTCTGATACAACTATTTCTAGTGGGAGCCTCAGTGGTGTGGAGGAGAGGAAGATGTATCCACACCTGAAGATTAAACCCTGCAGTGGAAGGCATCCACTTTTCCTTGAGAATTTCCTTGAGAAGTTCATGAGTCAGTTGAGAAGCTTCAGACAAACATTTTTCACCAGACACATCTGAGAAGCCTGCAAAGCTTTTTGGCCATCAGTGAGACTTGTATGAGTCTCCTCTCTCCATTAGAGGCATGGTCACAGCCCAGCTCTGTGGGCAGGAGCAGAAACTGCTTCATGACAGGGAAATGCAGGCTCATTCCCACAGAGACTCTGAGTGCAGGTGACGTCAAAGAAGATCCAGCCAAACCTGGGATCCTTCTCTTCTCACAACAGTGAAGGTTGGATACAGAATCATGGAATGGTTTGGATGGGAAGGAACCTTAGAGATCACCCTGTTCCAACCCCCTGCCATGGGCAGGGACACCTTCCACCAGACCAGGTTGCTCCAAGCCCTGTCCAACCTGGCCTTGAACAATCCCAGGGATGGGGCAGCCACAGCTTCTCTGGGCAACCTGTGCCAGGGCCTCCCCACCCTCACAGGGAAGGGTATCCAATTTAAATATACATTGAGAGATGTGGCAGCACTTTCCACCCACATTATAGTCACTTTTTTCTGGTATAAATGCTTTCTGAGAGGAGAGGGTAGACTCCAGCCTGTGGTGTCTAATGGTCCTGAGCAAAGGCTCTAACTCTGGGTGTGTTTGTGTGTTTACAGCCAGGCTGGAGAATCCTCCACACCATCAGGATCCATGCATTAAAATCCATGCCATCTTCTCCTCTAGCTGGGTACTCTGAGAGCTCTGCAATCCCTGTCACCCACCAGGATGTATTATATCTGTACTAACTAATTTCACAGCCCGTAAATTACAGGCATACCCTGCGTATCTCCATCTCATTAGAGAAGGTTAATTTAAGCAGACAATCAACAAAAATACAGAAAACTAGTTTGGAAAGAGGATTTTGCCGTGTCTCTGACAGACAATGAATTCACAACCCCAACATCTGCCACCACTAGAGAGAAAATGCTGGAGGAAAAAAAAAAAAAAGAAAAAAAAAGAAACTCATTGCTATTTCCTCTGATGAATGGTGAATTTACAATTAGCATTTTAATTACTCAAGCCAGACTTTCAGCTGGTGTGATGATCACAAGAAATTCCATAAGCAACAAGTCATCTTGGTTTGACAACATGTGCTGGGGTAATGCATAACACACTTAACAGGGGTCGGTCTAGGGAGACTGTTTCTCTTCTGGAAAAATCCTACAGCATTAATTGCCCTCCAGTATTCATTTATAGTTTCACCTAGTTTTTATATATTTTATATAATTTTACACTCTTGTCCCAGCTTAGAAAAACCTGCAGCAAGACTGTCGTACCTGAGGCCTTTGGTAGAAGTGGTATGGATTTACCTTCAGGCAGATCCTACAGCAAATCCATCAACAGGACCCCACACATATGAACCTGGATCACTTGCCTGAGGAAATCCTTTAGGCAAATCCATCCCATATCACTACAGACACCTTTCTGTGTCCTTCACCTGGGCTAATCCTACAGCAAACCTGTCCTGGGGACTGATGGATGGGCTCCCCCTGCAGCAGGTCTGGTGATGATTGCTCAGCCACCTTGCTTCTTTGTCTAACAACAACAACAATAGAGGAGCAGGGCACTTTTTTAAATTCCTGTGCAGTGATAGGAAATGCTGTGTCCTCTGGGGGAGGAGGATGAGTAGGGGTGTGGTTATCCTTGCAGGTGGGGTTTGCAGCTTTGACTGTCCTAAACTTTGCCCTCTGTTTCTGCACCAGAGGAACACGTGTGGGGTTTGCATGGCACAGGCTCCTAAAGTAAGCTGGGATTTCAGGAAGCTGAGAGTGTCCTTGCTAATAGAGACAATGGCACAGACTGCTCCTCTAATTCCAGGCACTGGCTGGAAAAAAAAAAATCCCTTGTACACCTCGTGGTTTGCCTTGAGGAGAAAAGCCAGCAGGTGAAGACTTTGAACCCACAACTCGGTGCTGAGGATGCACAAACAAATCAATGAATGGAGAACCGACAGAAACAAAGACCAATAAAATCTTTCAAGAACTCAGAAAGGTCTGAGACTTGGCTTTAAGACTCAAAATGGTTGATGTGGAGATCTGGGTTATTCTAATCCTTTCTTTTGAACAGATCTGGAAATTATCAAGATGAGGACTGGGCCCTTGTAGACCATCACTCTTCATTTTGATTTTCTGCCCACTCCAATAATTTTTTCCTCCTATTTTATTTTGTTGCTCTTGTTTGTTTTTTTTCCCTGGGAAGACTTTCTTTTCTCTCATTTTTTTAAGTGTTATCTCAGCCTTATGAAGACATTGGATGTCCCCCATACAGCACCTTCTGTGGTGCAAATCATGGATGTGTATCCATCATCTGTGAAAACACAACCCTCTCTCACCTGTAGTTGTAAAAAAATATCAGAACCAAATCTTTTTACTTGGAGAAAAATTACGTATGGGGCAACCATTTATTCAGAGCAAAGAAAACCAAACCAACCAACCCAGCAGTGCTCATTTCATTAACTGGACAAATGAGAGGTTTGTAAGTTCTTGGCAGTCTGATGGATAAAGGTACCTTGTCAGAAGGTCCCTCCAGATTGAGTTGCAAACAAAAGAGAGGAAAAGGAGGGAGGAAAAGCAGATTTGTGGTTTCAGAACGAGCAGATCTGACTGGGAGCTTTGGTTTCTCTGTTGCACTTACAC